CATATTTAGTCATTGTCGACGCAGGTGTCAACAAACATAAAGCCACCGCTTACGTCGCAACCGAAGTGACTTCTACTTTTAGTTTTACGAGAGTCTATCGCGCTATAAAGTCATATATTAAACTCGAGTGAAGTCTCAAGAGGGTTGCTTCGACTGCCAGTGCACATGTCATCAGCGTAGGCAGAGCAACGACGTAGCAATCGCGACGCGAGAGCATGCTGCGCCTCGATCTGGCCGGCCGGGCTCGCTCTGCGGGAATGTGAGCGTAGGACTCTCGAGCCCCGTTAGCTTACTGATGCTCCAAGACGCTACTTTGTTGTCGCGAATCATTTGCCCTTCGAACGGTCGCGAAGCCGTTGCGCCCGGCGTACCCTACACAGCATATTTCAGAAACCGTTCGCGCAGCATCGCAACCTTCTTACTGCGAGCGTCGGTGATTCATCGTGTGTTGAAAGTCGGACGATGTGCTGTTCGAGGTGTCTTTTATGTGCAACTCTTTCGTAAAAAAATTTGAAGTTTAAAAACGCGAACCTAACAGTGTACAAACAGTTTTAAATTTATTGATAAAAAATATATTTATATATTTATAGATATATTTGTGTATATCGTGCGCAAAAAATAGTCGCGCTTAGTTCTTCATTCTAAATTATAATGTAAGTTATACGACGCAAAACATACTGTCGTCACGCTTGCCCCGTTTAGAACCACTTTTGGACTGGACAGTTTCTTTAGAAGTTCGAAAGCTGACCTTCAAAGAGCTGTCCTGTTAAATCGGTAATGACAGCAAGGTAGACGCTATGCGTGTTTAAGGCCAATCCTGTCTCCGGTTAGGGTCACGTGACTACTGTCTCAAAGCTGGTGATAAGGCAGAGCACGGAACCTGCCTAAAGCACAAGGTCACGTATAACTTCTACTGCACTATCAACCTTGGGTAGAAGTGACAAATTCTCTCGCTCCGTTCATTGTTGAAATGCCCCTGAAGATAAGCCTTTGTAAGCGCACCCCACCCCCGTTCTGGCCTGCTTGCTTTGTACTCCTTCTCTCTTTTTTCTCTCTCTCCCTAAGCTGGAGGCGCGGTTGCTGTGCGTACTCGCCGGACTTGAATCCGCTCTCTGTGCGCGGGTAACGGCAGAAGTGTGATCATGTGGTTTGACGGATGACACATTACCCGTTGACAAACTCGGAATGCCTGCGTCGCAAGGACCGGACCTAGTTTCGCGCGTGATGCGGCCTGCGGGGTGCAGGCCAGCTGTGGATTTCGCTTCTGTGGTAAATGGTATCTCGTTCGAAAAGTCCTACCCGTGTCGATTTCTTCAAAAATGCCCAAGACATTCTTGTGAACAGTTTAGTGTCCGGTTCGGCAAATGGCAGCGTGTGCTACATTGTGTTGAATCTTCACGGATCACTTCCCTGTAGTTTTTGTGTTTGAGTAGTTGTTCTGCAGTGCCCGTGTTGACATATAAGTCGGATTACATCTTTCAAGTCCAGTATTTTCAACGTAAGTGTGCTGCAACCTACTTGATGATCATTGTCCGTTCTTGTATGGGTAATCTTCCGGATAACCTCTAGAATTGGGCATTGCCTATCTCCTGGCAGCTGGGAGAATAATTTTCCCGCAATCTTACCGACAGTCGCCTGCCATTATCTGTCTGAAATAATGCCACAACCGCAGGTAGAATACTGACTTTTTTTATTCTACCTGCGTTTCGCAAAAACACGTTTCGTTGCCACCTTTCTGGTCGACATTTACGTTTCATCGACATTCGTTACGCGAATTGCGCGCTGTAGGGGCATTTCGTCACGCGTGTATTCCTGAGGCGCGTGCTCACCGAACCAGCCCACCCTTTCACGCCGCTTCATGCTAATCTGAAGTGGTTCATTGCAACAAAAAAAAAAGAAGAAAAGAAAACATATTGAGTTTTTTTATGAAACCTCGCGTGTTGATGGAACGATCTGTTTATGAAATGTAGTTCGATGAACTGATTGCACCGCCAATGAGGGGCGACTAGTGGTAGAATTTTGGTGAAACAATTCTGTCAGCTGCCGGGAGACTGGACACTACCCAAGAATTACCCTGGTTGTTGCTTGCTTTGCAGTCTTTTTAATTGTATCACAGCTGAGTAGTACCTCTTCACATATTACGAATTGCTGAGATTGCGCTTGTCTACAGAATAAGCTGTGTGTAATAAACTGTTAGGAGATTTCAAAACAATCCCTTGTGTCTGTTTACCTTCCTTTTTGCAAAAACTTGGCGAGGGCACTTGCAAAGAGCTGGGCGAGTGCAACGATGGCCAAAAATCAGCATGACGGCCAACATTCGATCGGGTCGCGCTTCCAGTGTTGTCCAATATTACGCCGGTCTTCGCCAATGTGGGAGCACCTTGGCTGGAACCATGGTTTAGCGATGGCCCAACATTGGCACCAATGATGGGGCCGACATCAGCTAGAACGATGCCTGAACATTGGCCCAACATTGGCACCGATCACTGGGCCAACATTGGGAAGGGTAGCGCTTCCAATATTGTCCAATATTGAGGCCGGTCTTTGCAAATGTTAGGCCAATGTCGGACCGACATTGGTGTGCTGCCTGGGTTGCGGCTGAGGGGGGACAAGCAAAACCCTTTCCTGTCGTTTTTATATGTTCAGTTAGTATAGGTAATCTGCCATTTTCAGTCGTTTTTTATTTTCAATACTGTCACGAGTGACAGACGATGAGGCAGGAAAAGACAAAATGAATGAACTAAAAAGTTAATGGGGCGAACTTGTGCCAACCAAAAAGAACGACACACTTCGAGAAAGCACCAGCGAGCGTCGACGGCCGCAGCTAAAGCGACGGCGCGTCGGCGTGATACCTGGCTATTGCGAGAGAGAATCAGCGAATGGATTGGCAATACGGCGCTCGGCTTTTTATGTACTATGCTCGTCATCTCGAATATTCCGCCTAGAATGTTCTGGAAAGAACTAGGGCGAGACTGCCAATGTCAAGGTCATTCTGGCTTTCTTTTCTTTTACGCTCGAGGTAACAGAATACACGAGCTCTCTAGATGAATGGATAAGCGTTTCTCCTCGATCATGCACGCAGAATCAATGAACAATGAATATCTCCTTGTCTTTTGTTCACGTGAGCTTGCTCCCAGCTCTTTTACAGCGAATGCTGTTATGGGTTCGCCCCTCGTCGAAATGATATTTGGCGTCCTTTGTCATTATATTCACATGACACTGTTTCTTCGCGTTACTTGACGACAGAATGTTACGCGACGTCACATCACGTGGCATGTTGATGTCACATGAACCAGTGAGGTCATGGTGTCAAGACACGCCCCCCTGTCACGTAACAATGTGATGTTATATGAAGTCATACAGTCACGTGAATATGTTAGTAGTCACATGACATCATCGATCTAGATTGCTTAGTTTTATGATAAAAACTAATTATGAGGATAAATGAACTGCACTGATAAAGTGGTTTAAAGGTTACGAAGCCGCCAAAAGGCCAAATAGTTTGCGGCGCCGGAATTTCAAATCCAGGAAGCCTAATTACTGTTTAGGTGTGCCAAAACTTCACCACACAGCATTGTCTTCCGGAGTTTTTTTTATCTCTTTTACGTAGGCACCGAAACGGAATGTATCTAATCAGAGGTGTTCTGGATGCATACTGCTGCGTGGCACGCAGTACGACATTTGCTGGTACAGTGTGCGTGCTCGTTGTGATCAAGAAGCTATATCGCCTTCTGGTCCGCTACTGTGCATGTTTTTTGTTTATGAGGTTTAGAAACACGGTATTATGATCATCTTCGGAAGTCAAAAGCCACGTTCAATACATCATGAGGACTTTTTATCATTTCACGTGAGCTCTATAGAAATATTAGGCGCTTTGAGCAAACCGTTGACGTATTCCGTGTGCGAAGGGCCCTGGTGATACCGTGACCGCGGAGCACGCGCTTCAAAGCATGCTTCAAAGGCTCCCATAGTGCGGTACGCGGAAAACGGCGAAAGTTTGCTAAAAGCACCCATTCACTCAAGAAAGAAATCCCGGGGATTTCTCCCCGGCGCGCGTATCAGGCCAAGTCCAAGCTTTTGCGACGCGGCTCGATGACTTCAGCTCCCCGGCGTTTCCAGGAAGCCCGGGCAGCACAAATAATCCCGGTTTGGCTGCGGATCAGTTTGTTTGTAATGATAGTTTGTCGCAAACACTTTTTTGTGTCTCGTGTAGAGATGGCTAAATGTATGTCCGGAGGTGTCAATGGTGCAAACCGCTAAATTAAACCGCAGATACTGACATCGCGGCACCTGGTCATTGTGAACGACTAGATACCGGGAAAGGTGTATTGTGAAATTCTATGCTGGCCTGTGGTGACGTAAAAGATTCAGCACTACGACCTTAGCGCCGTGACGGCGCCTCCAACTTGTGTTGACCGCGTTCTCATTCGTCGTTCTTTATTTCCCTCCCGTTGACGTCTTAAAAGTGTCACGCCATTGTCTGCTGCCATCCTGGCTGTGTCAAGAGCGAAGGTAGATACGGCTGTCCCCCGTTCTGCTGCGCTTTCTAGATTGACGCTCCACGGAAGTTTCTGCGCTGAGGAGTTTGAACGCGGCGTCGACAGTGACACTTCCGTTCGCTCTTACTTTATTCCGGGACTTCTGTAACCAATCGCCAAGATCGCTTGATCAGACAATATCCCGTATCCTGTGACGTTATTTGTGGCCACATGGAGACCACCTTTGATGCATGTACGCTTTAGGACGCTGAACACAACAGTGAAAGACGCTTTCCAGCTATCCCGTTACCGCCTTTATAATAATAGTCACTGATAAGTTAAGAACGGCAGGGAAGAGCTTCAGTTCTCTAGTGCGAGCATCCTCCTCGGCCACGCTTCGGCGTCTCGTGTTAAACCTGCCGAACCCCGACGTAAGGCGCGGAGGTAGTGCTAAAGGTAGTGCGTTCGAAAGACACGCTTTGTTTACCTTACACTGCCAGTGACTATAGGAGTTTCCCACAGGCCACACACAGTCCTGGGGAAAGGGGTACCCCGATCTGCTGACCCCCTGCTACAAGGGCACGTCTCCCAATGGCAAGTACGGGCCCATCAACCCCGCACTCGAGTCAACCTTCCGCTTCCTGGAGACATTCTTCGAAGAAGTGGTCAACGTTTTTCCTGACCAATACCTCCACCTCGGAGGCGACGAGGTCGGCTTTGACTGCTGGTATGACCGTTTGTTCTTTGCTCATTCTAACAAATGTGGCAAGATTTTACCTCAAGAACCAAGATGGATTGTGAATCCATGGTATCATGTTAGAACCACAACCTACTTTATACTTACGATCACTCCATCTGCAAACACTCCAGCACGCACCTCCCGGAGGGGCAAGTTTCAGCGGCGCCTCGAGGCGGGGCTTGGAACTAGTTTTTTTTTTTCGTCTTTTCTTCTTGGAGCAAGTTTGTGTTCGCCTCAATAGTGTTGGTGGCGGGCGGGCGCAGCCAATACTATCTGGTGTTGGCTGCGCAGACTAAAAAAAAGCTGCTTTATTAACGAATTGAGCCCCTTGAGTATCCTTTACTTAGAGAAAAAAACATTTTACAGTGTGAACGCGCTTGAAACTAGAAAGCGCGATCAGCTGGCACGCACCCACGGACAACAGAAGAACCCAGCGAGGTATTGAGGAGTTTCAGCGACGGTGTCACCGCCCTGGCGGCCGGTCGCCGAAAGAGAACGAGGGGGATAGGTTCGCTGGGCGTTGGCTTTGTGTAAAGGCGTTGGCCGCGAACGTAGGCTTATAAACTTCGGCAGCAAGAATATTACGCGGCTCTAGTGTTCCGGTACGAGCAACAGAGGTGACACGATCTGCTACGAATAGCTACGACCACCCGCCGCAGCGATGCAGGCGTCGAAGGAGCGCAACCTGTGTACTACGCAGTCAGTCGCCGTCGCCCGACGCTGCTCGTTTGGCCTTCAGGGCTTTCCGCCCCGGTTTCTTCGCTTGTACTTGGAACCGAGTATTATTCGCTGTGCTTGTGTATGTGCTCAGTGGCTAGATATGGACCTCATAGAGCAGAGTTCTTAAGACTCAACAGCGACTCAAAGTTGACGGCGGAGGGGCTTGCATCGACACTTTCGCTTGGTGCACGGGTGCGACGACTACACGGATAAATTTTAAGATTGCTGCTAGCAAGGTGGGCCATAGTCGCTTTATGTTGACACGATTTTGAGTGTAAGTACTCCGTGCAAAGGCGAATCTATCGCGTTTCTAATCCACCTTTGTTTTTGTTATTTTTAGCACGCATGACCGATTGAAAATGCTTCTGTACCGATCACGGTGTGAATGTCTTCGGCCTTATACGCCAAATAAAAAGTCATATTCGTTCAGCGAGAAAACTTCCCTTTCGAGTGACCTTCTTTGATTGATAATTCCGCCCGTACTGGAGTGCTTTAATCAACACAATCGATTAAGTTTGCTTCCCTAGTTCGGACATCTTTGTGCCACATGCGGCACTAATGCTTGGCACGATGCGGCTCTGGCACGATGTATGCCACTGGTGGTATTGGGAATTGATTTACTTCCAAAGCTAACAGTATGACAGGTGGAACCATTCAATTTGCTGAAAATGTGATGATATGGGAATGTCGTTGCATAACTAGCGTTTTACGTTTAAGATTGATAAGAAACATGCTCATGTGATGATGCATGTCTACAGCATTAGCTTTGCAGATCCAGAATGAATGTGCTATAGGCTACAGCCTCAAGACTTTTAATGGACCAAATTGGTGATTACACGGCAATAAATATTGTGGTGGAAAACTGCCCATTGACTCGGTGAGTTTTGATTGTGACCATTGGTGTGCTGTTGGCAAATCAGGTAATGGCGCACCTTTTCCCTGACCATCTGGCTTCGAGGGACACTGCATGTAGATGGGCTTAAATATCTTTATTTCAAGGTTCAGTGGACCCCTCTGCATCATTACAGGAAGGCACTTTCAAGGCACAACAAACAGCAGTGAAAATACAATGCATAATAACAGGCACCAGTGTCCAGGCGTATAGTCTGCAGAAGCCAATTTGAGCCTAAAAATGTTTTTGTTTTGTTTAGATAGTTTGCATTTGGTGTATAATTCGCAGGGCCCGATTTCCGCGCCCAGTGCATAGTCCGCCAAGCTGGTGCGTTGCGTCTTCGTCCTTTTTTCCTGGGTGGCATTTTCTTCAGAAGTTCTTCGGCGAACGCTATTGGGCCTGAAGAACTGCTCTTGAGGCCCATATCTAGCCACAGAGCACACACACAAGCACAGAAAATAACACTCGGTGCCAAGTACCAATGAAGCACCTGGGTGGAAAGCCGTGAATGCCAAACGAGCAGCGTCGGGTGAGGGCGACTGCCTGCGTTGCGCCCCTTCGACGCCTGCATCGCTGCGGTGGGTGATCGTAGCTAGTCGTGGCGAGATGATCTTCACTTCAAGCAATAAATCTTTCCATACCATAGTCAAGATATGTGTGCAAGTGTTTGACGACGTGGGCTCTCTCACGTTGGTGCGGTTGTCATCAAGAAAGGTACATATCAACAATGTAGCGTGTTTGAGGCTGAAACTGTGACGCATACTTCTCTAAACCTAAATCTATCGGTCTGCGGCTACAAACATTTTCGTTGACGTTGCTTAGATGATGTAACCATTGAGGCCTCGCATTAAATGGTGTTGCGAACTCTTCGGTTGTGTATGAAAACCTATTTTCGCCCTAATAAAATACATTTTGAAAAGGACACGTGTCTTCTGCTGATACATATCTTCCAATTTACAATGGAGAGGCAAACAGAAAATCAACTGCACACATCTACCACTTAGCATAAACAACTTTTGCCATTAATTCTTTAGCACACTCAAATACCAGCTTTGGTTGCTCTTGTTTTAGAAGCTTTGCCCTGTTCTGTAAAACGAAAACAGTTAAAAAAGCTTTACCTTCGTTCTCCTTCTCGCATTTAATACAGACTTGTTTGTCAGCAGATCATACACTGGAGATATCACCGTGGCACATACAACTCGAATGACCGATGAGACTATTGCCATTACAATAGAGCTTTCCACAAGAGCCAAAACGAGGCTTGTGGGGTGCACAAGCACATCGAAATGAGATTGGTGCTTCCGGGGCTTATTTACATTATGCGTAAGAAACAGTACGATCGGCGACCAGCTGATCGCAATATAACACCAAGGATGCCGTTGTTCCGATACATAGAACGCAGTATAAAGACCTCAATCGTCCCTTCTATGCTGAAGTATTCATACTTTCCATCCAACCGCTTTTTAGCACAATTTACTAGAACAACTGAAGAGTTCGCAACACCTTTTAATGCGAGGCCTGAATGGTTACATCATCTAAGCAACGTCAACGAAAATGTTTGTAGCCGCAGACCGTTAAGTTTAGTTTTAGATAAAGTACGCGTCATAGTTTCAACGCGCGAACATTGTTGATATGTACCTTTCTTTGGACCCGCGTACATTCGGTTCAACTTGATGACAGCTGCACCAGCGTGAGAGTTCACGTCGAACACTTGCACACATATCTTGACTACGACAAGTTTTCTTGCCTTCGACTGGCTTGAACACTTCATCTGTTGCACCACGGTATGTCTTGGCTGAAACGATGATCGTCTCGCACACGGCAACAAACAGAGAACGACACGCTTTGTTTTATTTATACGCTACCGGTCTACGGGCGTCGCAAATCTATCCCCCTCTTGTCCGCCATGTTGGGTCGATCGGAGCGCCCCCCATATTCGCTGAAACTCCTCAATACGAGTTTGGTAGGAGAATCGAGTTTTCGTGCCGAATAGTGAGAACGCCTCTCCCTAGGTGGCACTAAAACTCGGCCCTCAGCCGGGTGCAAGCTCTTCCATAGGGAGCTTTCAGATGACGTGGTCGAAAGTATAAAGTTGGTCGTTGTTGACGTTCGCCTTGTTGATGTTCACCTTATTTGTTTTTATCCGCCTATTTAAGACACCTCGAAGCCACGATTGCCCTTAACTCTTAAAAACATTTTTATTTGCAGGATGTCAAATCCAAACATCACAGCCTTCATGGAAAAGATGGGTATCGCTGGACACTATATTAAGCTTGAGGAGTACTATATCCAAAGGTAAGTGGATTGTAATTTGGGAAAATTTAACGTTGATTTGTTAAGTAAAGTGCTTAAGGGGCCTTGCAATGACTTTTTTACTGGTTTTTAATTTGCACCCAACCTGAGCGCGGTAATCGTAGTAACGCAGTGAAACTTTTTTTCCCTCGAATTTCGCTTTATTTTAAGATATATAGGCGAATTAAAATGAAAGAAAACAGGCAAAAAATAACCTCCTTCATAACGTCTTGGTTGCTTGAGTGGCCGTGAACGAGAGGAGGGGTAGTGAGCTCAGCGAGCGCTCACGGCTGCCGCACTCTGTGCCGACGGCTCGAGAGGGCGCCACTAAAGCATGTTCTGGATAGGCTGTATGTAGCGGGCAGCCAGAGCGGCTCTCATTGCATTTTCTGCGCGATTGAACACTAACTCGGCATAACACTTCATTGGCCACAAACAGCAGCAAACACGGGGAAAAGATAAGTTCAGAACGGGAGCCACTTCACCCACTAAAGAAGGCGAAGCGGATAGGGCCACTTTGTGGCCCTATCCGCCCCCTTTAAGCTAAAAGGACCGTGCAAAAAGGTTAACAAAGAGGAAGGCGACACATCGGGGGAGTCGTCGTGTCGGGTAAAGCACAAAAGCAAGTTCGTAGAATGCGTAGAAGGTTCGTCTACAAAATACCATTGACGTGCGGAATCTCATACATCGGGCAGACGGGCAGGTGCTTAAATGACAGACTCAGAGAACATCAATATGCATGCGGGTAATTGCAAGCACCTGGCAACTTAGCAGCGCATTGCGCGAGATGCAGCTGCGAACCGCTATTTGGAAATACATCTGTCATGGACAGATCGAAGAATAGAAACAAGCGTGAAATCATAGAAGTCTTCCTCATGGCATCAGGGAAGCACGGCACGTGTGTCAGTGATCCATCCATTGCACTGAACCAAAAGGATATTGAACTGCTGAGACACAACACAGCATAACGAGGCGGACACCAGCACGAGCTTCAAGGTCCCCTCTCACACCACAAAAACCGAACGTTTATCAGAAAAGGGGAAAAAAAAAAACCACAAAAATCGAAAGTGCACACATCTTCATGACGACGTTTATCATTATTTCATAGCTTTCGTTCTTTTCCAAACTCACGCATGGGGAAACTCATGCATTGAAAAGGAGAAAAAAAAAACCGTTGTTAAGCGTGTTTCACATGCAGCGGTTTTGGCCCTAAAGTGGCGCGATTCCTGTTGTCGCGGCGCTCGTGCCGCAGAATTGCTGGTGCTGGCCAGAGCGCCGCGACGGCAGAAATCGCGCCGCCCTAGGGCCAAAACCGCTGCATGTGAACTAGGCTTTAGTCTGCGCCCATTCGTGTTCGTTGTGTTTCTCCTCATCTCAATGTAATTCATCATTTTCCTTTCAATTTTTGGTGACGCGTTTGTTCTGTAGAACTTCGCAACGCAGCACGTCTATCAATCTATCAATTGTGAGTGCCTAATGTTTGATCTGGCGCGAACGTACATTCGAAAAGCACCACAACTCTCCTCGTTGTAAGGTCTCCTAAGATTTTCCGGGAAGGTCTATTGTCTATAGGCTGTCTGCTCGTCTGTTTCACGCTTAATATGAAACAAATAAGTCACGGTGACTTGTGCGTAAGCAGACGCCAGGCAGGTTCACACATCCCCGTGTTCTTACGTTTCGTTCCATTGCGAAAACGGACGCACACGTGACTGAGATATCTGCGCTTCATACTAAGCGTGGCTACCAGTTCAAGGAGAGAGCATGGCACGCCAAGTTCTAGACAAGAACGTTTCGGTGAGTTGTACTTAACACAAGATGACGTGAGAATACGGTGCTTTGTGAACCCGCCTTTAAAATGACGTCAGCACTTCTTTGAGAGGAGACAGACTTTCGGGTCCTTAGTGTTCACTAAAAATGTATTACAAATTAATAGTAATTTCCTTTTTCAGGTTGCTTAAGATTATAGAGGCACTTCGGAAAAGCTACATCGTGTGGCAAGAAGTTTTTGATAACGGAGTTGCAGTTAAGTATTATTTTTTTCAGACTACCTATCACGAAAATGTTTAGTATACGAGTTCACAAGACCCTGATTTTTCTTATGATTTAAACTGAAAATACGATCTACGGAGACAGCTACACTGGACGTAGACATCGCGTCAGCCCCATACTTAATGTTGTTAATACCCTGCCTTTTCACTCATTACCTCTATTCAGCTTTTTCCAAAATATTCTTTTTCGTGTTGAAAAAACAGAAACATTGGATTACTTTGGGACCGCCCTTAGGCACCAGCTGAACTCCCCTCCGCCACGCTACGGCAAAGGCGCTTCGGGCGCAGTACCAGAATGGGTGTGGGCAAAAACTTAACGGAACACATTAGTGCCGCTTTGGTAGAAACCAATGGCCTTCTCGTAAAACGCCGTGACCGAGGATGCACAGAAAGATCTGGGAATTGTGTTAAGTGTTTTTATGTGTTTCCTGACATCTCTCAGAAAACGTCGATGGGTGCCGTGAAAAGGGAAAACTAGGCGGACCATGATGGCCTCTGTGTAAAGCAATTTGAGTTGCATTTACTCTTTGCAATAAGATCTATTTGCATTGTTCCAACGTGAACGAGGGAGAACCGCCATGTGATTAGAACCACACGGACTACGTTCAGTGCGTCGTTCAAAACGGCCGTGGTCCACGTGAAGGATGTACGTGCCGTCAATACGTTAATTGAAATACTAGGTAATTGCAGGTCCTCGTAAAGCTGAAAAGTGTCTTGGCGAAATCGGCTCGGTGTAAACAGTAAATACAAGTGGGTGTTGATCACTCGAACTGCCCCCATTTGTTATGCCCACTTGATTCTGCTTGCAATTTTCAGTTTCGACCACAGTTTCTCGCTTCGTTTGCCGCCCGCGCGACGTCGCAACTGAAAATACTGAGCAGCTTCTTAGAATGGGAAGCATTCTTTGGTGTCCATTCTGCGGCATTCACGTGTAATCAACTATTGCAAGTCATAGCATTCACACCAAGTTTCACACTGTAACGAGCCTCGTGCAATTAGCCGAGGCCACTAAATGAGTAAGACGTGGCTAGGAAAATGTACAATTCAAAATTCCAATACAAATAAGGACGCGGAGACTCCCGCCGGCGCCGACAACACCGCACCCCAATGGTTTGTTGTTGGGGGACGCCGCGCTTCCTGGCCACACCCCATCGCCCATGGACGGGTGTAGCCACTGCGCCATATGTTCGAGCCCTTGACTCGATAATATAACACCAACTGTCGCATAATATTGGCTGCAATATAAGCACATTGGCGAAGTAAGAAAAAACAAACCAACGGTTGTGGACAGCTAGGAAATAACTAGCAGCTCTTGACATCCAATAGTGCGCGTATTTCCCGCCTAGCAGCGATTGATTTAGTACATGACGAGAGAAGATGCAGCTGTCTTTGACGTACAAATAGCGTGTGCTCGCATATTAATTAAACATCAATATATGCACAGATATTATAAATATGCCTTGATGTGGGGCACGTTGTGTCGTGGGCGCGATTGACAGTTTTGGGATAAAACTCGAAATTTGTGCATATATCGCTTATTCTCGCGTCGTTTGAGTTGAGTGAACCCTAAAGAAGCAGTTTCCCTTCAATTAATTTTCGGCGACCAATTTTCAGAATTGAGGAAAACAGGTACTGCTTGCCTTTTTTATTTTTTTCCTAAATTAAACAAATTTTTATGGTTCAGTGATAACGATTCTGGGCATTCGTGATCATGAAGAAGTGTTAGCGCATGTAACATGTCAAAAGGCTGAAACCAATAACCCCGGCCTTGAAAAAAAAATGTTTTTTTTTTTTTTGTTTAGATAAGGTCGAATACAAAAAAAAAATATTTTGACCTTCTGGCTGATGTCCCTGAGTTTGAATGCTCATTGCACGACAATTGACATAGGAGATCTGTGTCAATTCATTCAAGATGTACTGTTTGATCTTATCAATAAATATATTCCCTTTAAATGTTATTATGTAAGCGCAAAAATTACAAAGCGTGGATGAACAAAAGTTTGCGATGTCCTCTTAGCAAAAAGCGGTGTTTACTTTATAAGTATTAGAAAACAAAACTCGGATAATAAAACGTTGGCACGGGCGCCTTTATATAACGTTTAAAAACAAGTTAAGGAAGCAAAACTGCATTTCTTTTTTACTCTAGGTCTTAATTAGGTTAACAACCCAAGATAATTATGAAACCTTGTGAAACAATTCGGGTATTAATGAATATATAGGTGTACCGTCTATTCTTAATAATCATGAACATACTTTAATTGACTTAGAAAAGGCAGTTTGTTTCAACGACTACTTTCAATTCGTTTTCTCCAGTACTCCTCAGCGCATTATTCCGCACTTCTCCGAGACTATACACAATAAAATGCCAGAATTTCTTATTGAGAATAATGGGGTATATGAGTTACTTCACTATTTTCAATCTGATTCTGCCACAGGACCTGATAGAATTCCAAACAATGTGATAAAAATGTGTACTTCAGCGATTCCGCCCTTAATATTTAATTTTATAAACAAATCTCTCTCCTCAAGAATTTTTTCATTTCAATGGTAGGCAGCTAATCGTGTTCCCATTCATAATAGATGGCTTAAACGCAATGTTTCTAACTACAGGTAAATATTTCTGACCAGTGTTTGTTTAAAACTATTTGAACGCACACACACCTCTATACAGTTTTTTTTATTTTTATACATTACAGATTTGTTTTAAAAAAAGCCGTGAAAGCTACACTTATGCGATTTGTGAGAGTGAGCTTACGGTAAAGGGGACACTATGTGGGTGGCTAATCTTTGCGATAAGTCGGCAAATTAATTATAAAAATAATTAAATTTTTAGTGAAATTATACTTATGGTTCCAATTAGTAACTTACTAAGCGTTAATGAAAACCACTAAATCACTTCTTCTTAGAACGACTTCAAGCTCGTGAGAAACTTGGGGGCGCGCTAAAGTAACCACTCGTGAAGCAGGCGCAAAGCTAGCAGTGGCGGAACGCGATCATGATCTAATCATCCGCGTTCCGCCACTGCTAGCTTTGCGACTGCTTCACGAGTGGTAACTTTGGCGCGCCCCCGAGTTTCTCACGAGCTTCAAGTCGTTCTAAGAAGAGTTGGCTTAGTGTTTTTCGATGACGCTCTCTTAGTTTCTAATGGAACCTTGGGTCAATTTTTACTAATTAAAAAGGTAATTATTTTTTTTAATTAATTAGCCGACCTATTTGAAAGGTTAGCCACCCATATAATGTCCCCCTGGCCGTATAACTCGCTCGCACAAACCGAATAAGTGTAGCTTTCACGGCTTTGTTTTAACAAATCTGTAAAGAATAAAAAATAAAAATAAAAGTCACCCTGTAATTTTGTTAAGCGTCTTGAGTGAAATACCTTTTCCACTTAATACCAGCATGGATTCCGATCTGGTCTTTTATGCAGAAGACAGCTTTTAGAACTTGGAGTGGCCATTTTGTTTTCATTGGGGAGAAATAGACAAACTGCCTGCTTTTAGATCTTTAGCAAGCATTTTATAAAGTGCCCTATTCATGATGAAACTTTCATCTCTGGACTCGCCAGGATTTCTCGAAGAAGGCTTTGCAAGTTCTCTACCGCTAGCCAAGGTGTTAGATGGTGTGAAATCCCCGTGCGCGGCAGTGACGTCAGGCGACCCCCAATGAGGCGTACTCCTTCTTCTTTTGGTCTATCATCAGGATTTAACTGAGAATATAGCATTCGTTTCTAGGCGGAAGAGTGTGACATTTATCATCGAGTAAAATACGATAATTATCCTTCTCTACTTAAGACTGACCTTAAGACTGATCATGTGGCCCTTAATTGAGTGCACTAAAGGGCACTGCTGCATCATGCCTTGAATATCAAGTGCCCCTTAATATTAAGGGGCACTTAATATTAAGGGGCGCTTAACTGCTACATTATGCCCCCTAATTAAGAACACTTCATATTAAGAACACTTAATTAATATTAAGTGCCCCTTAATATTAAAGAGCGCAATTATATCCGATTTATAAAAAAACGCAACCCTTTCAGGACGGCATCAGACCTAAATGGCGTCTTAGCGGAGGTTAAGAAAGCCAAATATCCGGGGGTTTATTTTAACAGCACACTCTCTTTGGCAGAGCACGTGGACGCAATGACAATCAAAGCAAACAGTCTCCTACATTTCATCGAGCGTAGTTTTAAAATGACTACAGAAAATAGGAAAGAAATGTTGTATAAAGTTAGGTCAATCTTGGAGCATGAAATATGCAATGCGGTATATTAATTTGTTTAACTTATTTTAAGAATTGGACGCTTTCAATATAGAGAAGCCCCGTTTGTTACAGATAATTATACATTCAAATGAAGTGCAGGCAATTAAAGGAAAAAAAAACAGAGGAAACAAACGCTAGTTTGGAAAACAAAAAAAAAAACAGAGAAAAACGCTCCGATCTTTTATCTTTGTCTTCTCCTTCTTTTCACTCTTCTCATTTCTCTTCTTTCCTTTTCAAATCCTTTGGCGTAAAGGGCTAACCTTGGGTGGTGACAGATACTCTCGTCCAGATCCACACTTCGTTATAGTTTCTGGGTAGCGCTAATAGAGTAATGCTTCCAGCAAAGCCATAATTGTTATGAAGCACCTATTCCCTCGTTGGGCTCCGTGGTGGGCGGCGCGCCACAGATTCCGAAAACCCTTTGCCTTTTTATGGCGCCCCCCTCTTCTCAACCCCGAGCAGAGCGGCCCCCGAAAAGAGTTCGCCCCGCTCTTCCTACTTTCGAAAAAGCAAATGAACCAGAAAAATATCCTCGATTTCTTGTAGTTCACTCTACAACTGACATTGTGCATTTGTCAAAAAGTTTCTCCCTTTGTCATTGCAAAGCATTTAGAACAAGTGGTTGGAAAATGTTATAAGGCAAAGAAGCTTGCTGGAGACCTCCTTGTTGAGGTAGAAAATAAGCCACAGAGCACAGCACTCTTGAAGATTACAGGC